TTATGGATATTTTAATGTATATACAGGATATGTGCAAAAGCTAAAAGCTACTGTATTCTCGTTGAGAACCCACACCTACTAACTAAGCTGGATCCGCCCCTGCTAACAATTAAAGGATATGTATTCAAAAAGAACATAACCAGGGGCCGTGCTTTTCCTGGTACATATAGACATATAGTAAGCAGGCACAATTTTTAAAAGATAAATCAAACTGGAACAATACATTTTCGCACAAAGAATAAACTCCAACATCAGAACATATAGCATACCAGTAAATGCTTCAAGATTGCCAAAGGGAAATGATCAAGTAGAGAATTAAAACACAACACAACTTTCAAATAAACAACTAAAGTCTCATTTCATACTCACAGAACAATTAGGCATGAAATGTGAAAAAACCTTGGTATCATAAAACATACTAGTCAGAACATCCATCCAGATACACTTGTTCCAAACTAATATACTCTACTCACTATCTTAACAATTGCTGATGATCAAGCAGGATTCCAACTGCGGACACTAATCTACATTATATGCAACTTCTGCTTTAGATGATGCCCGCTGAAATTTTGTTATCTCAGCAACTACTTTGAGAGATTTTTTATCTTCCAACGTATCGTAAGGGTCGATTACCATTCTGACCAGTGCTGGAGACTTGGCCAATACAAGCTTGATAAGCTGCATTTCAGGCCATGTTCCTGCTACACCTATAAGCTTAACTGCCCTGAGGTGATTCAATGTCACATCTGAGAAGCTTGCAGGAATTTCAGTAACATAATCCCTAGTAGCTGGATCAAGCATTTTATCTGGATCGGGATATTCATTCGGGTGAAAACATTGATACACCTAAGAAGGATAAAGAAAAATTGAAGTTAGATTGAAAAATCTGCTTACTATCAAATAATAAAGTCATTATGTAGGAATAGCACAGATAAAAGAGCGAGAAAAACATCATTAAGAACCTTCATTTCAATATCTTCTAAATATGGAGAGCTCCTTATCAAGCAAAGAGCATCTTGAAGATCATGTAATTCATCCAGGCACATCGAATCCATGTAAAGATGTTTCAGACAATTCAGAGCAGAGGAAAGCCTTCTTGGTACTTCAACTGCTTCAGCAAACAAACGCTAGGAAGATAATGCGAAAAATCAGGATAACTCAAAGCCCAAAAGATGTTACATACAATTATGAAAATGCATTACAATGAAGTCACACTTACCCAAAACCTATAGCAATTCCAGTGGAGATGCTCGAGAGCATGAATAGGCTCAAAAAACTTGGCAAGATCAGGTTTTCCTGCCTTCACAGAAAATTGTCTAAACAGAATCGAAACTTTTGCGAGAAGAGGGACATTTTGCAAACGAATTATATGTATACCGCCTATGAAGAAAAATGACCTCAGCTTGGGAGCATTGACTTCAATGTTATTTAAATCATATGACGGTTCCAGCACCAAATGCTCAAGCAACGGGGAATTGGAGATTAAACTTCCAAGAAATTCAGAAGAAATTGTGACTTGACATAGTTCTAGGCTAATTAGCTTATCAAATCCCTTAAAGCCTGGTGGAGGATGTATTATACATCTTTGGAGGGTCAAATGTCTCAAATGCAAACATGTGAAAAATGAAGAAGGCAATTCATATGGGCTACCGCTACCAGTATGAATTTTAAGTACAAGATGCTGAATGCCATTCTTGGAGAGGAAACATATCAAATTGTCAATCTTAGGACATTTGACAAAACAAGGAAAACAAATGGTTAACTTTGTAATTGGTCCTGCATGAAGTTTTAAAATGTGGGAGACAATCTTTCGAAAAATACTTGCCATGTATGTTAGATTCCTACAAGGTCTCCAGAGTGTATGATCAAGCGTCAACTGTGGAAGTCTACACCACTTATATATCCATATCTTTGATAAGATGCTTGTCCTCACAGCATCTCGTAAAGGCAACTTCATTAGAATGTCATCGATTACACTCTCGGCAAGGTTGCTAAGTACATCAGGGGGGTAAATGTTGCTTTTTGCCGTGTGGAGGCATCATAATAAATGATTGCTAACAAGAATCTGCAGAAAATAAACAAGAATAAGATAGTTAAGGAATCTTCAAATAGTCTGCCTTTTTTAGGCTTATTTTAATTGAACCACAACCATATGCACGTGCCGACTTTTCTTTCTCACAGCTTAAAATTACTGTAACCTTGAACTCTTGGAACACATCTAAAATGTATTTGGTACACAATTAGAATATGCATATGATTACACATTTCTTTTAAAAATAATAACTGGTCCGAGTAAACTATTTTTACCACACAAAAAAGGTACTGCAGGAAGGAAAGTGAGAAAAAACCAAAAACAAACATTACACTCTCAAATGACCTAAAAAGACTTCATGAAGCCTAAAACGAAAGAAACCATCTAAAGACATGAACGTCTACTCCCTCTATTCATTCATTTATGATGTTTAGCTTAAAGTATATATATTTATATGTATATCGCCGCATGTTATTCTTTTGTTTCATGGATTTAGGATGTAAAATGTGTTGATTTATACTAATTTGAGGTGTTTTTATGTGTAGGAATGATCCAGGAGCAATTGAGGGCGAAAGGTGCGACATTAGAGCCAAAACGGAAGAAAAAGCAAAAAATGGCATTTTCAGCGCCACAGGCAGCGCCCCACGCTACCTGTGGCGCCAGAGGCAGTATGCTCCAAATTAACAGCGCCAGGGACAACGCCTAGCGCTGGGCTGGGTGCTAGTGGCGTGAATCCTGTCCAATTTTGCTCGGGACAAGATTATTTCAGCCCTAGACCTACCCAACACGTATAAAAGCAAGACTAAGCTTATTTTTAGAAGGGAGACGCCACTTTGAAGAGGATTTACACACGAGAAACATTCGGGAGCAAGAATATCTCAGATTTCTTCATCTTTTCTTAGTATTTTCAATTATCCGAAAAGGTTTGCCAAATACTAATTGTTGCTCAAAAGTGATTTTCAAAATATTTCAAAATAATTAACACAAATTGCTTCTCACCATAAGTACTTCTGAAAAAAGCACTTCTCAAAATAAGCTGTTTTAGGAGTTCGGCCAAACAAGCTATAAATCATGTGAATCTCTTTTTGGACTTTGTTAGCTCCTTAAATTTTGTACAAGAGCTAGCTTCATTTCGTAATATTTTCCACACTGAATGCTTCGTCAAGAAAAAGAAAGAAAACAATGATAAAAAATAGTGAATGACAAGAAATTAAAGGCATATAAGCATAGACCAGTGCCTTTCCTGGTTCATATAGACAGAAAATTAAAGATCAATCAACTGGAAACAAATAATACATTTTGGCATGAAAAAAATAAAGAAACACAGCTTAACTACTGCATCAACATCTGTTTCTATTTTTAAACTTCAACTTCAACTTCCAAAATATATAGCTAAAGATCATGATCTGATTAAAGACTGGCGAAGTCAAGCAAGATATTAACCGGAGATATTAATAGAACTATACATCATATACAACTTCTGCTTTAGATGACGCCCGCTGGAATTTTGATATCTCTGCCTTTACTTTGACATATTTTCTACCATTCAATGCATAGTGGGGGTCGATTACCATTTTGACCAGCGCCGGAGACTTTGCCAATAGAAGCTTGATCAGCTGCATTTCAGGCCTTCTTCCTGATATATTTATAAGCTTAACTCCCTTGAGGTGATTCAATGTCATATCTGAGAAAGCTTCCTCTTTAAGACATCTTAGAGTTGGCCAAATATTATAATCAGCGTCTTCTTCATCCACCTAAGAAAGATTATCATAAATCCATCTCTCTAAACTCACTGAGGATAAAAAGTAGTATAAAAGGCAGTTCGATGCACAAAGCTCTCGCTATGCGCGGGGTTTGGGGAAAGGCCGGACCATAAGGGTCTATTGTATGCAGCCTTACCCTGCATTTCTGCAAGAGGATGTTTTCACGGCTTGAACCCTGACTTCCTGGTCACATGACAACAACTTTACCAGTTACGCTAAGGTTACCTTTCGTAAAAAGTAGTATGAAAATAAAAAAGAAAAAAAAGGCCGGACCACAAGAGTCTATTGTACGCGGCTTTACCCTATATTTCTGCAAGAGGTTACTTCCACAGCTTGAACCTGTGACCTCCTGCTCACATGGTAGCAACTTTACCAGTCACGCCAAGGCTGAGGCTCCCTTTCATAAAAAGTAGTATGAAAATAAGGAAGAACGGAAAGTCAAAAACCTGAATTTTCAGATATTGCAAACATGGGAAGCTTCTAATCAGGCAAAGAGCAAATGAGATGAACTTGAATCCATTCAGAGAAATCTCAAATTTATTTTCTAAATTTGCTTAAAAGCTTTGCCAAATACCCCACCTCTTTAAAATAAGCACAAGTTACTAATTTTCAATATGAATTTTGACATAAAATCTTCATTTTTTTTTAAAAAAAATATTCACATATTTAGTAAATACATAAAAAGCACTACCAGTTATAATAGTCAGTACTTTAAATTATCGTTAAAATATCTAGAAAAATTATGGTCAAATAAAGGTTTCTTTACTCTCTAAACAGTAATAGTGCAACAAAAAGTAAAAAAGGAAAAACAAAGACTATAACCTCTCCTAATGTTTTGCTCTAACGTTCACCTTTCTTATTTTGATTTTGTAACAATTCTTTTTACATGTTTTTCATTAATGCAAATAAGACATAGTTTGACAAAAAAATTCCTTTCTAATATTAAATTCTTTAATATAAATATTGGTGGTTAATTTGAAGATAAGAACAAAGTCCCTAGTTATTCTACTTATTTAGAAGCGGTAGTTAAGGGCCTCTTCGTCGTCCTTGGGTTATTTTAGAAAATTGCCATCCTACTTCGGGGTTATTTTTGGTAATTGTCACATGAGTGTTGCGGGTGCACATCACTTTTGATCAACACGTGTTGCCAGCTACGGTTTTCAGTCGACCAACCTCTCTGTCTCTTTCATCTTCTTCATCGTGGATTTGACAAATAAACCCTAATAGGCAGATGAATGGGCAAAGCGCCTGCTTTATCGTCCTTTTGTTCTTCATTTATTGGCTATGCTGCAAACAGCATATATGGGCTTTTAGCTCTTCATTAAATATAATATTTAGCGGCTTAGGTGAATTCTATGGTTTCGAAAATGGATTTGACTGTTTGAAGGAATGAATCGCTCATTGTCGTCTCCAGATAGTGATTACTTGTTCATTTTAGCTGGCTTTGAAGATATTGATCCTACCATTGGTAAGTTTCGCCTCACTTGCAGTAAAAATCTTTTATAAGTATCAAATCTCGAGCATTATGATGTAATAATCCAATAATACGACGCTCCTAGGTGTGATTAGGCCTAAAAAGATATTGCAGCTATTAAAGCAAGAAGGAAAATCAAGGGGCGCTGTGACAAATCAAGTACGCAAAGGCAGTTTGACTTACTCAAAAAATCATCGTGTTGGAACAATCAACTTTTACCATCTGCATCAGGCTAGAAAAGGCTGTTAAAATTGGTTCATTTCAGATGGCTTAGGTTCGGGTTAAAAAAAATTCTTGGTTCCTTTGCGAGGTTTGCTAGAAATTATATATTTCCACATGTTTGTTTCAGATTTCATTTGAATATCATCACAAAGCAACACCTTGTTCAAGTAAACACTTTACCACAAAAGAATGGACCAAGTTTTGAGGATTGTGCTCTCTGGATCAATCTTGAGGGGACATCATCAAATGTCGCTTTGCAGACATTGCTCCATCTTATATGCTCCTACAATGATCATGAAGATTGTAAACTTGTTGTCAATAATATGGATGATGAGGTTGAGCAGGTTTCAATAGAATGAGTCTGGTGTTGAATCAATGATCACAAGGAAACAAAGTTACGATCTTGTTGGATTCTTTTTTTTATCCAGGTGTGCACTCTATTTATAGTCACCTTATATGGATTTTGATAATCATTTCACAGAATACCAATAGAGATTATAGTCGGTAACATGTGGTTAAAGTTTTGGTTTAAATTTATGTCAAAAGATGGTTGGTATGGTGGAAAACGCTTTTTTGATGATCAGTTTACTGCTAGCACGGGGACAACATTATCCTGCTCTTTTACATGTGCAGATAGATGGATCATAACCCTTTCTTAGGTGTATGCTTGATGGATACATTGAAATATAATGAGAAACAGAACAATGGCTAGCCATGGTTAGTGGTTACCAAGAAAATGCCACATATTGTAAATCTGGGGAATAATTGTCCTACTAAAGCAAAAGGGCCCTCGTGGTACCAACTATGTTCCAGTGAAGCTTCAGGCCATAGTGTTATCACACCTGAAATAATTTTGATGATGTGAACCAAACTCTTTGAGACTAAAAAAGATGAACTCTTGGAGACATGCTTCAGAGACGTTGAATTTATTTATTCCTAGTGTAACTAAATAAGTTGTGTAATCTAGATGCATAGTTTAGCATATAGAAATTATCTGTTATCCTGATTATTCCGGGGAAACTTGAAAGCAATGTCTCTCCTCTACATATGTCGATTAGGTATTGTCCCACTATATGAAAGCTATTGCATAGTCTTGCTTGCCTTATGTATGGTGCAAACAATTATTTTTGTTCATGCGAATCAATGTTTTTTTCCTTCCTTTTTTTTTCTTTCTAATAAAGCAAAAGTATACAAAGCGATGCTAAGATTTTACTTTATTTCTGCAGCTAACCCCAACATTAATGGAAGAGAATTGACTCGAAGGTGATTTAAAAGAGATCTAGACATAACTTGGGTACGATTTCCTGCTCTTTTCTCCCCTGCCTGGTGTCTGTGAAACTCCATGCCTCCCCAAGACAGTGAATTCCTTGAAATTTGTTATTAGCATTCAAGGAGACCAAACTTAGCTTCTCTCTTTAATCTTGTGTATTTCTTTATGCTTAAAATTTGTTTTAGGTTAAGCTATGTACAATGAGAATCTGGGATTCTTGTACTTCACATAAATTTATTTTCTAATAGCTTAATGTTTAGGCCTTTTAGTTGTTAGTTTCTATGGGAGTACGCTCAAGCTTCTTTTCTTTATTCCCTTTATCGTTTTTTTTTTAGTCATCATTGTAGAATAAATATAATGATTGTGGTATATTTTTATGGTCGGCTGTTATTGATGAACATTGTTGGCTATTTTTTTTGGTTCAGTGATAATATATCTTTCGTGTGCTCCGCATCTATGAAAAATCATATCATATTGATGAAGATCACCCAATCCCGATGCCTTTATGTTATAATACTCTTACTTTATGGAGAAACTTTTTGAACATGTAGGCATTTTCTTGTGGCGAGACTGACTAGGGATGGGTTATTTTGCAGAACATGGATTCAGGTGGACAATTAAATATATAATATTGTAGAAATATAGCCATTGGGATGACTTACATCGAATTGTAAAATATTAAATCATGCTCAAAACCTAAGGTAGAGAATCCATTTAAATTTTGAGCCAAATGTTTATTGGAGAGTCACTTTGACCCATGTATTGTGCAAATATATACTTGACTAGATCAACCTGTCTAAATTTAAACCAAAAACCATCTCTGTGATAATGAACCGACGTGTAACTTTACAGAACTTATACTCAAGATCCATTGGGACAAAAGAGGAGTCCAGAAAAAATTTATCAAAGCGCTTCGAGATCGATGGCGGAAACAATGGTGAGTAGGTAATCATGGAGCCAATTACAGGAGCTTTACCAAGATAATCTAAACTAAGAGAAAATTTAAGTCATCTAATGATGCCTTGCATCTCATTGTGTACTTGTTTCTGTTGTAAAGATCCTATTGTCCCATGCTCTTGCAAATATGTAGATAATAACATGTCCCTTCGTTGTGAAATGGACCGTGAACATTAACTCCATGCAGAAGTAGTCTATTACAAGTAAACTTCCCTTAGGCTTATTGAATTATTAACATGGCATAAAAATATTTCCTTCTTGTAGTCTCCAAATGAAGTCTTCTTTGTGTGTGTAATTTCTTTTTTATATGTTTGGCTATTTCAAGGCTCCTGGAGAGTTGAAGTGCAATATATTTCGGATAAGTGTGTCATAACGAGTGAAATTTCAGACACAGGAGTAATCTCTTGTTTGTATTAATTGAATTATGATTTTCTAGATGAGCTTTGTCAGCATAGCATTGACCTATACATTCTCGTGCTTCACTGGCAATTACCGCAAAGTAGACCGACTGCTATTTGTTAATGTCATCTGTATCCATTTTTATTTTTATCTTACAGGGCTCATTTGAGTTGATATTTCTCTCACTGTAACCAATTTAAATAGTTGTATCGATTTTCTGTTGTACGTCCGTTATCATATTTTTTTGAGTTAGATGACCATAGTGCACTTCTGTTGCGCTTGCGGCTCGACTGGTGGGTGAGCTACGATCAAAGTCCTAAATAAACCTTCTCCCATCTTTTTTAAATAGAAAATATAGGTTCTAAAAAAATATCATTCACCATTATAAGGAAAATAAGACTTTCTTGTTATATTGTGATAAAAAAATATCACTGACTATGCATTTTTAACATTTGAGCTCGGGCCCGGGCTCAGCACGGGCTTATCCCTAACTAGTTGTGTACATAAGTTGCAGTCTACCCATGTTACATAAGTCGAAAAAGTTATTTGCGCATTTTTAATTTGTGAACAACCTCTCACCCCTAATCTTTTTTGTAGTGAATTAAATACCCCCCGATTCAATACATTTATACGGAGTAGTTCATCAAATTGACATAAAATAATTTTCCTTTTTGGTAAAACATAAAAGTACATTATTTCAGTTTACCGAATTGAACCGCTATTCTAATCCCATTCACAGTGACCTCTTATTTTTTATTTTTTATTTTAATTTAAACATTAAAGTATTTGTCATCCGAAGCTACAAGCAGATAAACCACAAATGAAGAAACGATTCCCTTTAATTAAATAAACCCCAACATTAACCATCTTTAGTTTTGAGCCTCAAAATTCCCTGAGCCTTACAACTTGTTTGGATGGTTGTTCCTCAATGTATCGTATTGTATTGTTATCTCAAAACAATGTTTATTTTGATTTTCATTAAAATTGGTTGTATTGTATTGTTAAATCCATTGTTCCGGAACAATGAAAACTCCCCTTTTTTTGAAACAATCGATTTGGTGTGGTGGGATCGTTTCCTATTTTTCTTTCCAATTATGCCCTAACTTATTACTCCACAATTATATTTTACCCTTTACCTTTTTTTCTATTTTAACTCCAAATCTCCAACTTCTAGCCTACTTTGTTTTTTTCCAGTACTTCTGCCGCCAACGATAATGGTGTTTTGCCGCCTTCTATTTTACTTTTTCTCCTAATTTGCTTTTAACTCAATTCTAATTAGTTGTGCTCCTTTGTTTTGCCTTCTTCTGTTCTGCTTTCTTAAGGTGTTTTGCCTTCTTCTGTTTTATTTTTAAAAAATTATTTTACGCATAATTTTTGATAAATTCAATATTTAAATAATTGAGGGTATTTTAGTAAACTTATCAGTTACAGTACAGTACGATATAGTCAAACCAAATAGCAAAATATTATTTAACAATGACAAACAATACAATCTATTCAAACATTGTATTCTTAAAACGATACGGTACAATACGATACAGTACAATACAATACATTATAAAACGACGATGAACAATGATCCAAACAGACTGTTAGGTATAGTGAATTGGTTGGTAGTGTTGTACTTTTTCACTTCATTGCTTAAGAAAAGAATTGAGTTTGTACACACAAAGTAGACTTCTTTCTTTTAAGAGGAACTTTTAGAAACCACTATAGTTTAGTGGTTATGAGCTTCCTATAGCTATCATATACATGTTTACTTCCTATAGCTAATATTTAGTTGCTATCAGACTATATTCTTTGTATTTGTGCTACTGTATTCATGAATACAGTCGCAGAATCGCCTAATAAGTAGAGAGTCCATCTATTTAATAACGGAAAGAGGATCAGTTAGCTTGAATCACTCCTAATTTAACTCAACAAAATTAATTTTACAAAATTTCTTTGCTACTTTGTTGTATTCCATGTATTCGCGCGATTGTATTTATAAATACAGTGAAGTAATCCGCCTAAAAAATAACGATTACAAATATTTAATTATGTATTCCATGTATTGGCACGAATGTATTTATAAATACAATGAGGTAATCAACCTAAAAATAATGATTACGGGTGTTTAATAACAGAAAGCACAATATTGAATTGTATTCAATTTCACTATATTGATTTCAGTTGTATTCAAGCAACAAAAAATAAAGAAATAGGGTGTATACCGTTATTCAGTTCGACTGTATACATTGTATTTACTTCACCGATATTCATTACTCACTATTATACATTGTATTCAATTCACCGTAGTCAATTTGACTGTATTCAAACAACAAAAAATCATAAAAAGCAGTGAAATTCGGACCTTCGGAATACATAAATACATGCAAAAAAATACATAAAAATATAATGTATTTGAGTGTATTTGTACATAATACAATGTATTTATATCATTGGATGTGACTCAATAGCAAAGAAGAAAAGAAAGTTCGCCGGAGATGGCGTTTTTCGGCCAAGCAAAATACTGTATACATTGTATTAAAATTAAAAATGGATACAAACAAAAATTTGGCCCTCAAATCTTCCCCGGCGACTCTGCTTCAGATTTCCAAAAGCTTAATTCATAGACATGGCCACATTTGTTCGCCTACTCCCTCTTCGCTTCAGATCTATTCTCTTTGCAACAGAAAGTCCACCATCGCCATCAAAAATGATTGTTACGACGACTGCCTTAACAGAACTTTTAGGTACAAACAAAAGCCTTAATGCTTTATCCTTGGTACTGAACATTATCTCATCATGAGAATGGACCAAAAGTTTAGTTGACAATGTTGAACCGTCATTAATGACTTTGTTTGATCTCCTTGAACTTAGATCTTGGGATCTCCAGTCTTCTAGGTAGAGTAACCGCCACTATGACTTGTTCTCGGCCATAGTCCCATTCCCCTTGATGATTTCTCAACTACCTCTCTAGTTAGGCCTTTTGTAAGTGGATCCGACACATTATCACTTGACTTTACATAGTCAATCTTGATAATTCCTCTAGAGAGTAATTGCCTAACGATTTTATGTCTTCGTCGTATGACGAGATTTACCGTTATACATAACGCTAAATCTAAGGCTATGAATTCAGCCTCCATTGTAGAGAGGGCAATACAAGTTTGTTTAGATGACTTCCAAGATACCGCTCATCCACCAATAGTGAATACATATCCACTTGTGGACTTAGAATTTGTCACGATCCAAACCCCGCACTGGTCGTGATGGCGCCTCTCGTGAAGACGAGGCCAGCCAAACTAACCCAACTCATCTTTTCAAAAAATAGTTAAACATGAATAAACAGCTTAAATATGACTTATTAATATTAATTAGCAGAAATACAACCCAACACAGCCCTAATCGGGGTGTCACAAGCCACGAGCATCTATCAGAATATAAATCCACTACAAGTTCTAAAATATACATAACCGGAATAACAAACAAGGAGAGAAAAATGGTGCTGCGAATGCTGGCAGTCACCTCGCTAACTCTTTTAACTCTGCCTCTGATCAGCCAATAACCCGCTACCGGGTGAGTAAATACCTGCATCTGCACACGAGGTGCAGGGAGTAAAGTGAGTACTCCAACTCATTGAGAAATAAAGGTAAATAACAACTGAGCAGTAAAAAATCACGTCAAGCAAACCATCATACTATATGGAAGCAGGGTACAATCCTTTAAGAAAAACAGTGAAGCTGTGAAATCTTTAGAAATATTTTGGCTCAGTTTAAATCTCTTTTGAAAGTGATCTTTTCAACAGTTACGAAATGATTTCAAAACAGTTGGTGCCGATAAGCACAGAAGATCCGCCCCTCGGGCAGAAATACCACAGTATAACAGGTTAAAAGGCAAGTAAATACGCAAGATGAGCACATAAAAGTTCGCCCCTCGGGCAATATCTCAAAATAGTACCAGCCCCTCGGGCTCACTCTCAGAACACTCTCAGAATAGTATCAGCCCCTCGGGCTCATTATCAGTCACTCAGCATAGTATCAACCCCTCGGGCTCACTCTCAGATCATATGGGTACCCGCGCTCACTGTGGGTGTGCAGACTCCGGAGGGGCCCCTTACGGCCCAAGCGCTATATCAACATAAGGCCTGAAAGCCTTCTCACATCACTCATAAGGCCTGAAAGCCTCGTCACGTCACTCAAGCCACATCGTCGCATATAAATGTATCTCAGGCCCTCGGCCTCATATCACTCAGCATATCCTCGCATATGGCCCTCGGCCTCACTCAGTCCAGAAAACATCATAAGCCCCTCGGGAATCAATAAAATAGTAGTGCTCAGCCCAAACAACAGTAGAAATATCGTTTAAGTCTCAAAATTCAATTAAAGCGGCTGAATTTGTAAAACAATGTAATCAATAGGACTGAGTTCAAGTAATGTAGCAAAATAGTGAGGAAACAGTGATTAAAGTCCACGAAGGGTTCAAATAATTGGCACGAAGCCCAAATATGGCAATCAGCCCAAATCATGATAATAACAAATAAGTTTCAGTCAAATACGCAGTAAAATCATCAATCGGGACGGACCAAGTCACAATCCCCAACAGTGCTCTACCCCACGCTCACTATCCGGCGTGCNCTCTACCCCGGGGTGCTATCCGGCGTGCAAGTCACCTCAATATAGCACTACGATGTGCAATCCGGGGTTTCAAACCCTCAGGATGTCATTTACAATCATTACTCACCTCGAACCGGCTAAATCTCTAGCTCGCGATGCCTCTTGCCCCTCAAAATCGGCCTCCAACGCGCGTCAAAATTATCCAAAAATCAAGAGCAATACATCTCAATTAGCTAAGGGAACAAGGCCCAAACGAAAATAATCAATAACGGGACACAATCCCGAAATTACCAAAACCCGAGCCCCGGGCCCACTTCCTGAACTCAGAAATTT